TGTCTTGTTTAATATGCTTTTCGAGTCAAGTAATTGCATTACTTGTGAAAATGAAAGTTGAATGTTTCTTTGGATGAAAATTGCTCTTAAAGCTGAAGTCAGCGGTGGAAAATGTGCAGATTTTGTAATTTATTTTTTATTTTAACTTAACTGAAATGCTTAAATAGCAAGATTGACAGCTGAAAAGAGCTGAACAACCTGGTTTCAGTATGAAAACACCTGTTCACAAGTAAAATACAACCAACACTCATACAATCAATTCATCTGTGTCCCTCCTGCATGTTTTTCGACAACCAACTTTCATTGCTAAGGATTTATTTTTAAATTGTAAACGTAATTTGCTTTCCATGGGTGTAACGGGTAATTGGTTCACGGAGGTCAGGAATCGCACACATCTACACCCGCTGACCCCAGCGCTTAATCTGTTGTAAGAGAGGCACGGTTATTTAACTAGTATACATATATACCAGTAATATAATTACTGGTATATTATATATTTTATACCAGTTGATTGTGGTATAAAATATATAATACTGTCCCTTTAATATGCTGTAACGCATTTCCGAACCGTGTTTAAATTTTTATTCTTTTTTTTTGTTACAAACTCCTGATGAAAAACAGTGAGTTTATGCGTGCTTTGTTTTCTGTTTCCTCCAAGTGATTCCATCTCTGTTGTTATTAAATATGTATATATTTGATAATATCTTCATGTTAAGGTGAACATTATAATAAATCATTACAAATCAAAAGAATGGGGATGTAAAACAATTATTTTCTTGGAAGCATAAGATTGAAATAGCTACACAGACATAATTAGATCAAACCTGTAAACAGAATGCAGCTTATGGCATCACAGGTTTGTTGATTTAGCCCCAGAGGAAGAGTCTGTCACACTGCAGCACCTGGAAAGCCCAGTTTATTAAATGATTGTGGTGAAAGGGAAGCAGCTCTGTAATAGAGAGCTGCAGATGACAGGTTGAGCTCTGCTGGAGCGAGAGTTGCTGACAAAAGGGAGCTGCCCTGAGACAGAGCGGGGCAGCAGCTGCACGCAGAGCAGAGTGGGGCCAGAGAGCTGGGAACAGGGGCCCGACTGAAGACTGGAGTCCAGAACCATGAGAGAGAGACAGGCTGAGGCGATATGAACCAAGAACCGAAATGAAAACTGAGCAGTTGTGCTCCTTTATGTAGTTGGGAGTAAAGGAAGAGTTCATGTGGTTCAGTAATGCGTAACAACTGTGGGAGAACAATGAGCATCTCAGCAGAGAGTCTGCTGGTTCAGAGGCTGGGCTCTTGCTCTCTGTGAGACAGAAGACAGAACTAAGATGTGGGGTTTGATCAGAGCGACGTGTTGACAGAAGAATGTGGAAACATGTATCTCCGTTCAGAATGTTCAGTGTTCGATGATAAGAAACGGAAGAGATTCAAACTGAAACAATTTCCTAGTTTTGTTATTAGTGGTTTTGTTTCAGAAACTTTGGCCTTCATTAGATTTTTTTTTTTTTTTTTGACGTTGGTCTGCAACTGTTCCAATCCTAGGAACTATTTTTGTCTTCAGTCCCACTAAATAAAGTTTTTAAAGAAACAGACACCTTTTTTTATTTTCAGTTATTTTTATAAATGTCTGCTTCAAGAATTAAGTGGCTGTTTGTACCTTCCACAAGGCTCTTGAGACCTATGCTTTAAAATTATTATCAATGAACGTTTTGAATTATAAATTAATAACAAATGACAATTTAAAGCACAATCATTTGTGATGGTTCTTTATGCATTAATATTAATCTAGATAATATTAATAAATAATATTTATCACTAAGTCTTGACTTGGTAATAAATTAATATTTATTAATTTCATAATAAATGCATATTCTATGACAGAATCACACTACTCTTACACAACTGTCATTCATCTGGACTGAATGCAAATATGGCTCCTAGGATTGTAAAGGTTGCAGATCTCTGGTCTAGATCAAAAGCATATTCAAATTTCAGATTTCATCAAAGTCTCAATTCAATGTGATTGAGTTTGATCTGCTTTGTAAAGAAAAATAGAACAGCAAATGTAAATAATAGAGAAACTTTTACACATTTGACTGTCTTGGTCAAACGTGTAAAAACTAAACTGCATCAAATCTTTTTTTCAGAAAGTACAGTTAGGAATTCTAAATATGATTTCAAATGAACAGCAAAACATGACGTCACTCAGAGCACAAAGCATAGAACTAGACTGAATAGATCTGCCCTGATGAACTGGGCATGTCGTCACCAACACCCGATCTAGGAATTTTTTCACTGTCGTAACCGATACAGATAGTAGTATCGGATCGGAGCGTCTCTACTGGAGGCACGACCCAACTGCTGGTGGAGTAGATGTTCACTCAGTATTGACACTTTTTTTAAATGAAATGGTTGGTTTTGGGTTGTAACACTGCAGAATGTGAAAAAGGTCACGCTCTGCAGATCTTTTTCACCCCTTAAATGTAAGGAGAGAGGCGTCGGCATAAGAGAAAATATTCAGACGAATGAGTGACCAAGCACAAGTGCGAGAGTAGTAGGTCTGGAAATAAAACACACACATTAATATGTCATTGTACACAATAGGTTTATCATTTATCATGTTTTTCTGTGTAGTTATTTAGTTTTTTTTTTTTTTTTTCTTTCTATGTCGTGTGCTCTGGCTTAAATTGAATATAAAACACCATCCAAAATGAGCTCTAATGAGAATCATATCCGCTGAAAACTGTGTAATATCTCTTCTCTAATCATTTGATGTTTTCTTTACTCTTATTGTAATCGGCCTCCTGAGCCTTCTGCCTTCCTGTTTAGTAGCTTATTTAAAAGTCAATTTAATGCCCATTCTTTTCCTAAATTGCATTAGATGTAATTGCAGCAATTATTTATCCTCACCACTTTAAAGGAACGCTCTTTTTTTCTTCTTCAGGTTTGCCGCTCTAAAACATCGCTCATGACGGGAATGTTGGCGAAACAATTGGGTGGTAATACGTGCAGCTGAAACATGATATATGATGAGCATTACTGTACACGCAGCAGGTTTAAAAAAAAAAAAAACTGCAAATCTGTGGAGACACAGCAAAGTATGCAGACGGAGCTGCTTGGCAGTTTGGCTCCAGAACAGCTTTTCAACAGACACCGGTGACGGAAAAGGCTTGGATTGCACCTTGTCTTAAAATTAATATTAGGGCTGTAACTAACAATTATTTTAGTAATCGATTATCCTTTTAGTTTGATAATTAATTGAGCAGATGAATGAAATGTTCACATTCTGCAAATTTTTCATTTCACTACTTCATGCTTTTATTTTTAACATAAAATTTGATATACATCATAATTTACAAATGACTCAGTTACTTTCCTGAATAAGCAAACTAAAATGTTATTCCTTCAAAAGTAATAGCTTCAATTTAATGGGCAGTTGATTATGTGCAGCAAAAGATGCTTAAAAATAAATTTCTTCTTTCTTTATTTTATATTAATTTTTTTGAGAATTTAAAACAGGTGAAGCTAAGAAAAAAGCCACAGGGTGGCTTTGTATTTGATGTTGCGTAAGGTCCATTTTCCCAAGAAATACTACATTGTGAGGACTCGCTGCTTCTTATGGGCTTCAACCACATAAGAAGACATGCTATGTCTGTGTTTGTGTGTGTGCGTATATTACTACAGATAGGTGACTACTTTCACAATATTTACCCACCCTTTCTTTATTTTTGTCCTTTCACCATTCCTTCAGTATGCATAGAATTACTGTTTATTTTGTCTCTAATTTTGAAAATGACACCCCATGTTTCCATGTGTTTTACCAAAATAAAAGTAGAAAATACTTTAGTATAATGTGTTAGAAGTAGACATTATGTAAATATACATATTAGCATTAACCCAACAAGCAATAAATAATAACAAAAAACAGATAATAACAGCAGTATGAATAACAAAATGGAGTATATTCAGTCTGAATATGGTGGCCATCCATCTGCCAGCAGGTAATGTCAGCATATTATTCCTGTTTGTTTATTTCATTTTCTATTGGAGTGCACATCCTCTCTACACCTGCATCCATTCATTTACCCATTTAACAAGGATGACTTTGATAGAGAGCCGTGGAGAGAGGTCAGATTCGATTTCAGGGGACAGAGTTGGATGTGATGGGGAGTGGGTGGTGGTGGTGGTGGGTGGGGGTTGGCGGGTGGTAATGGCTTTCTTGGGCTTTTTGCAGCACTGAATAGCTCAACTGGAGCCGCCTTGATGGGGTTAGGGCGCTGTTCTTAAAAGGGCCTCAAACGTCCTGTTCCTCATTGTTCCTGAACACAGCGCGCCTCTGCTCTGGAGGAAGCGAGAACAGCACACAGTGGAAGGCAATGACTTGGCTTATAGATGAAGAAGAAAAAGAAAAAAACACTCCAAGTCGCTCTGCCACACTCTTCCTGTTTCAAACCTGCGGTTAGACTGATGAGCTGCCACGATGAAGAACAGTGGAGAACCGGGCTGTGCTTTTTGCCAACGTCAAACAAAAACAGTAATGTGACATGAAGCTTCTTTAAAGCTTGCTGCTTGCTTCTGGCAAAAAGCCTGTTTTGCTTTGAATCAGGATCCAGGCTGAGATGCGATGCATTCAGGCTCCACTGCCACAATTTGGGTAATCAGCCTCCTCCTAATTCCTCTCCACTTGTTCCTTTTTGATTTCATTTATCCGCAAATTGCTGTGAGGGGAGCAGGTCTGCTAGAACAAGAAGAATACGGGGGAATTATTCTGCTGTGCTTTGGCTTCTGATGAATAGAAAGCTGTCATTCGAGCTTTCTTTTGAAAATCTTGAGCACTTCTACTATACTTTTGTTAGCAAAAGTAAAGCAAAACGATCAACTTTTTTTGTTGTTGTTTTCTTTTGTTGCTAAGTCGTGAAACCGACGGGAAGCAGCTCTTGTGTTTGGCAGACTACTGTTTCCTATTTTTAGCCTGAATGACTGACAGAGGTGCTGTGTGTTTGCAGGCACCCCGGCCGGCCAGGCCGACACGCTGCCCTCAGCCCAGGGCACGCTGCCACACTTCATCCAGGAGCCAGAGGACGCCTACATCGTGAAAAGCAATCCCATCAAGCTGCGCTGCCGAGCCACACCCGCCTTACAGATCTTCTTCAAATGCAACGGGGAATGGGTGCACCAGAACGAACATACTTCCCAGGAGTATAAAGACCTCAACAGCGGTAAGATCTGTTTTTTATCGAATGAGAGCATAAACCAAAAACATAAAACATGAAAGGAATTCACAGGAAATAAGGTGATGCATTATTTAAAGCAGTCACAAACTACTTCCTGTGACCAACGTGGATACAGATTTGTTGTATATCATCAATTTTGTAAAAGTATCGCCAGGTAACGTACTGAACCACATTTTTCCACTTCTGATATCGATACAAATATCTATCGGCCGACGCCTGGAAACAGAGCGGAGCTGATTTGAAACATTTCTTTTTCTAAAAAGTACTAAATTACAAATATATTTTATGACTCTACACATTTACATACACCAACAGCATCTCAAGCTTGGTCAAACATTTAATTAATTTTTTTCCAATATCGGGACCAATACAGATATTATCGGTTCTGATAGGTTCATCTCCAGTGGTGCGCGTGGGCGGAGCTCCAGGTTTGACTCTGAGCCTGAACCGGAAACATTCTGTTCCTCTTCTGATCACTTTTAGGTGATATACAGTATGTATATCTCCTGGTAAATATGTATTTAAATAAGTATCATAATTTTTAATAGTAAACATATCTCTGATTTTCCTCCTTTCTCGGAACAGTTTCACATTAGCTATTCGGATAAAATAATGAACTAAAGTTTTCATTGTTCTTGCTGGCTGTAGTGGTGAATGGCAGCGTTTATTTGCAATTCTGTGAATTTCACAGTTAAGTTTCTCACTCGCCTCCAAGGAATCGCTCTTTCTTTCCTCTCTACTAGCATGCAGTCACTGATTCTAATTGCTGTAATGCAGCTTCTTTCCTCTAACAAAGTACAGAATGAGAATTTCACTTAGCTGCAAAGTTTGTCAGCTACTAGCACGTGTCATTCACCAGCACAGAGGTCAGCTTTGATTACGCTCCTGCTTTACTCACTGCTCTCAGATGACGTATCGATGCAGCGTCTCACTTTGAGGATAGACGAGTTCCAAATGTGGGATGGTGTAGGCCTGGATGAGGATGGACGGCAGCGGCGGCAGTAATCAAAGCTCGGCCCGCTCACATATGCAGCTGGAGCTTATGTTAAGCTCCTGGCAGGCCGAGCTGAAGCTGGGAAATTCTGCAGGACGTCAGCACAATGAGAGCTGCTTTCCTAGCAACCGTCACTCAGAGAGATGCAGAGGATTGTAGACTTGTTACCCCAGCAGTTTGTTCCGACTGAGAAAATCCTGAAATTAGACCTGTTAGCGTGACTGAACTGTTCACATCACTGATTTAGAAGAACTAACATGGGTTGTTTAAATCAAACACACGTGGCTTGTATTTTTGAAGCACAGAGTTGCTTCAGAGTATTATGAGTTTAATCTATTTCATCAACAAATACTACCCTGTTATGTTTGGCGTCAGAATGATGAAGAATAAAGGCAAATCAGAAATTTACTAAGGGTTGCTTTGACTCTTTAATGCATTTTTGATAAATCTTTTAATCTCCTACAGCAACCATTCAGGTGTGCAAACCGCCAGGAACTTCAAGGACAAATCTCCTCCTCATATCTTCCGCCTGACAGAGCAGCTCTCCCATGTGAATCCCCCACTCAGCTCCTTCAGACTAGCCAGCAGTAATTAGCAAACACCTGGTGGAACTGAAGTCATTATAGGAGCTACGTCTCTGTGCAAAGCTGGTAAAAACCAGAGATAATAGAGGAGCCACGTTCCTGAATGCAAAAGAGCGTTGGAAAGACCAAGAGTTTCTTTACGTAAAAAAATGTACTTAAAAATAGTAAATGTTTTGAAGTCATATTTGAAATATACAGCATTTTTATAATGACTGAAGTTAACATAGTTGATGCTAATAAACAAAATGTGACTGGAAGACATAATACTTCCCCTTTAAGTGTTCTGCATTTGTTTTGAAACACCTACCACCAATAAAATCGTATTACGTGTCTTTTAATGTGTATCTCCATCAGCGTTTTCCAAAGTAATGTTCATGATCAGCTAATGCTTCTGACTGTCAGTGTTTATTAGCTCTGCGCTGCAGCTCATTGTTTCATGTTTAGCTGCAAATAATTGATTCCAATTCATCATTTAATGCACAACAAGCATGCTTCTAATCTCTACGATTTTTTTATTTTCTTTATTGTTATTAAGAATACTAAACTAAAATCACAGCAGCCAGAGGAATCCAGGTTCACTTTTGGGCAGAATCTCATTGGATATGAAAAATTGTTTATTTTTATTTTTTTTGTATAGTTATAAGCCATATAGTTATGGCTGTCTGATACTACCAACTGTTGGCACAGTAAAAAAAAAATTAAAGAAATTTGTCAAACCTACAGCAGGATATTGCATGGAAAAAAAATTCCTAGACATAAACAACTCTACATACAACTCAAGCCAGCAAAATATGCTAAAAATACATGATTAAAATCTTCAATTTTCTTTTCTCTACCTCCCCACAATAAGGAAGTCAAAAAGCTTTCCTTTATTAAAGCTGTATGTCTTCAGACAGGGAGGCAACGCTGAAATAAAAAGACGAAGCCCTGACTTGTTTAAACCCACCAGTGTCCTCATAAATCCAGACTTTTCCGCTGAGTAAATATTCGTCCTGCTGCTGCAAACATTCAGTTCCAGCTTCACTTTTTCATGTGAGGAGGAGTTTGCAGCTCATTGTCGATGTGACTGATGCTGAGCACATCCAGCCCCGCCCACCCCGACCTTCAACCTGTTCTCCTGAGCCACATGTTACTGCATGTTTCACTGTTGGTCACATGTTGCTCTTCTGGAATACTTTGCTACTTTTCAGTCAGACATGATAGCAGGATGTTATCTGGAAAACAGAAGAGAGACTTCTTTTCTGGGACCAGAACCCCGTTTTTTTTTTTTTTTTTGTTTTTTTGTTTTTTTGTTTTTTTTTTTTCATTCTGTTTCTCATTCTTGAATCTTGAACTCTGACGGAAAGTTCTTTAAATCTTTCTGCCTCCCAAAAGAGTCGTTATCTGTATTTATATTGACCATATAGAAATGTGCAAACTGGAATTAAATTAAATTTGGAACAGATAAAAAAAATTTTTTTAAAAGCCGTAATGATGAAAATCCCTAGAGATGGAGAGATGGCGAAGTCTCTCTTCTAGCTTCAGTGAAGGAGGATGTTTATTTGTATATTTTTGTTATTTAGTTATAAATTGCTGAGTCAGAAACGTTCTTCTTCCTCTTGGATAGATTGGATCATAATCAGACGTAATTCCAGGTCAGAGATATAGTATTACATAAGATCATAAGATTTTTATGTAGATTAAAATTATACATTAATATTTAATGTCCATAAGTCAGTAATTATGCTAATTTTTATTTAAATGCATTGTTATTCTGCTTAGAACTTTGTCCCGCTGGATTCATGGGGCCTCAGGCAAACAAACGGCGAACTAATGTCAGAGTTCCTGTTATACATGATATAACATCTCATATGCGTTTCTGCTTGGGATTATGATGCAGATTATAAAGCAGATTCTTGCCATGGAAATCTGCATCATTAGTTTTCACCACATAGAGTCGTGCCGATTGGAGGATGGAGCTTTCAGCATCCTGAAGGGATTTCTGGCCAACAACAAAGTCGATGTGACGCCTCGGCTGGAGGGCGCTGTGATTACAGGCTGCCGGAAAGCTGTCTGTCTCCTATTCATGAAGGTCCCTCCACAGGAAACGGCCTTTAATTACTTCTGGAAGTTCATTATGGTGTGACTGCTGTGCTGTGAAATTGTTGTGAGCTTGGCAATGGCGAAATGAGAAATTTGGAGCCGGAATTTTACTCTGCTTGTTCCGTGGGGCAGAGCACAAGGGGAGAAAAGTTTTGGCTCTTTGGTTCGTCGGCACGCGGCGGTTGGCTTATCCTTCCCACTTTGCTCGGCGCCCAGCAGGAGGGAGGCTAATCAGTGTGGATCTGACGGATGAGAAGTGAGACGCCGAACCAAACGGCCTCTGCCCGCAGGCTGAAGCTCTCCACTGATGTGTTAACAAAAGGACAAAGTCGACGCTGGAAATGTCCGCAAGCAAAATTTAAATGCCTGCAGACATTCCGGTTTAGTTTAAAAACTAAACCGGAATAAAAGCAGTCAGGATGGAGTTTTACTGACGTGAGTTCCTAGATTTTATGACTGACTGAATGGGCTGGTGTTGGCATATTGTACCACTGACCTGCATGGAGACTCAGGGGGCAGTTCTGATGAGGGCTGTGACCCAGGGCGACATTGAATACGGGGCGCCATCGTGGAAAGAATTTTTTGTGTTTTTATTTTCTGCATGCGGACAGATGGAACTAGCCATGCACCACTGATGAATAACAACAGCAGAAGAAAATGTTTCTTGACATTGTGCGAAAAGAAAAGCAGCAGCAAAGATCTACGGTGAGCGTGGAGACTCTGAAACAATCCCCTCGCTCTGGTGCTGAGCAAAGACTTCCTCAGCCACTGTAGAAACAATAACTCTTCATCTCAAGACCGAGCACATCCACGTCCTTCACCTTCATGAGGACACACTGAGGGAAAATCATTTTCAGGAACCGATGGATCAGGATTCTGAACCAACACCAGTGGACAAAGCTGCAGAGGCTCAGCAGCTGGTTGTTGCTTTAACGTCAGGACTTGTGTTAAGTCTGGCAGGTCCCTGTGATGAATGACAACGGGGCGAAGCTAACACTCTGAAGCTGCTCTTCAAGCTATAAATATATATATATATATATATATATATATATATATATATATATATATATATATATGTGTAAAAATAAAAAAAATTCCCTTCTCACCCACCGCGGGTGGTTCTTATCCTCTGAGCTCGGGTCCTCTACCAGAGGCCTGGGAGCTTGAGGGTTCTGCAGTATCTTGGCTGTGCCAAGGACTGCACATTTCTGGACTGAGATGTCCGATGTTGTTCCTGGGATCTGTTGTAGCCACTGCTCCAGTTTGGGGGTTACTGTCCCGAGGGCCCCGATGACCACAGGCACCACTGTGGTCTTCACCTTCCA